TGTTTAGGGTTTTAATTTGAGGGGTCGGTTCATGTGTCTGGTTAAAGAGTTGGTTTGACAAGATGATGTGGCGGGTTGATTTGGTGATGTGGCTGGTTCAATTCGGGTGAGTCAGCAATTCTGTTAGCCACGTCAGCAATTGATTGCGGTGTTAATGGAGAGTGACTAAACGTGGACTGTTTTACTAATTCAAGTGACCATTAATGGATTTAAATATTTGGAGTGACTAAACATGAACGTTTTTGGTAAACTCAGTGACCAAACTTACAATTAACCCTTTTGTGTAACATCGAATTCTAACTCCAGTTTGTACTCTTTAATACTTTTTGAATTCTCCTGGGTTGTATTCTTCTTGCTTTTCGTGTCTTCCTGCTTGGCATTACCTTTCTATTTTGGATATCTTACTTTGTACTTTATCTTCAACGACCTGCATTGTTGCAATTGATCTGGACGGTAACACGAAAGCTATTTCTATTTATTGACTGGATTTTTTTTCTTTTCCTATAAAGGTGAGGGCTTTATTGCACTCAAAGAGAGGAAAGGAGAGGAAAAAAATAGTAGTAAAAGTGGACTGACATAAAAAAGAGAAACCACAGCAGTAGCGGTTGTACAATTAGCATGGAAACCCTACGCAAAATTGTGGCGTGGCATCAATACCTTAGTTGCAGACAACAACAACAACAAACAAACAAGAAAACCATATGCTACACATAGTCAGGAGTAACAGTAGTAACACAGGAGCGACTGTAGAAACTAGAAAGTGGTGCGTGTAATCTTATTGTGCTGATAATTTTATGTTGCTATGCTACTGCAATAGTTCAACGACTTCTCCTCAAATTACTATTGTGTTCTTGGCCTACCTCCGACCAACGAGGCCCACATGCTAATGGGTTGATATCAATAAGAGTTCCGATATCAATTTTTTCGGGCTACCTCCGGCCAAGGGGCCGGGTCATAAGGTAGTGTTTTGTATAAGCGGCGTCAGTAAGCATCGCGTTTTCCCCCATCTCTGCCTACTCTCTATTTAGTTTGTTTTTATGCTCATCTTCGACATTGTCTTCTTCGTTTAGTAGGGGTTGCAAATGAGGTTCGTTGTGTATGTTCATCTTCCTTAAGCAGTAGTGGTGCTTTGATGTGTTTCGTTTGTAACTGCTTTCTAAATCGTTTTCTTTCGTCGTGGGAGGTATTGCCCATTGTTTACTCGTTGTTAATTCCTTTAACGGTTGCTCCACATGATTCTGTCATTGTTACTTGTTGTTGTAGTTTTTGAAAGCTATTAATCTTTCGTGTTGATACTAACACGTCCTTGATCCTCCACCATATTATTCAATTAATTCTCCGAGTTAAATTTTAGGATTTTGGTGTCACCGTAACTTGCACTTTTAGGTCGACCTTATATAAGATTAGGTCGACCTAATATGTCGTTTCAGTTTTGTGAGGTTCAACGACGCGGTTGACCTTTTATAGCAAATGGTCGACCTCTTTGAGAGCGTGAATTTGTCGGTAAAGAGCGCCGATCTCGTCGAGGCTTAGTGTTGCCAGTTATATACAATCACTTTTCCGATTTCGTTGGTAGGGGATGAAGACAAACAGTTCCTCCCATGAATTATCGTTGCCATTTCTATACAATCCATTAAAGGGTCAAAAGTTTTGGGATGTATTATTTAGATTCAACGGGTGATCGATCTACCAAACCGTATATCTGGGTCACCGTTGCTGGAAATAGAGTAGTTGAGAACTTCGATTAAGACGACGATTCCGACCAAGAGCCGTGGCGGAGGAACAGATGCGGCAGAATGGGAAGGGATGTTAAGTAGGCTGAAGGGTTGGAGTATGCCAGCAAGAAGGAAGGAGGGAAGGGCCGACAATTAATTGGAGAGAGATGGATCCATCTATGGCGAAAGCAAAGAAGAAATCGAGAGCAAATTTCAGGGTAGTGGAGGAAGGGGAACAGAGAGCAAAAAGAGTCCAGAGCAGAAGCGAATGACACTGGGGAGACATGCACAGAGACACGATTGTCTCTTTTTTACCCCAAAAGAAAAAAGACAATATTTGAGAGAAAAAAAAAGACAATACGGTGGTGTTTAAGTTTGGCTTTAGGTGAGTGAGAAGAGAACGATGGTAGAAATGTATGTGAAAATATTTTGGAATTTTTATAATATTAATAATTTAATAACTATAGGTTTTTTCTTTACAAGGGTTCGAGTTAATGAATAAAGAATAGTTTTTTTACTTGAATAGTCACAAATTACTAATAATAAATTTGTAAGATTCTCATACTGTATCTAATGCTTTGAGAAAAATTAATAAATTAATAATTTAATATTACGCTTTCTTTACGCTCTCAATATTGAATTCTCCAAAAATTGACGCTCTGACGCTCTCGCTTTCGCTCCCGCTCCCGCTCTCGCTCCACGCTCTGGTTACCTAAGGAAGGAAAGGAAGGTTTTGACAATTTTGTTTTGTTAGTGATTTTGTAGTTGTATTTATTATATGTTGTTAGTAGTGATTTTATATATATAAGGTTTACATATATGATGGTACTAACCGTAATAATTTTATAGTAGTGATTTTATGGATTATACAATTATTATAGTAGTGATTTGATAAGTATAATAATATTTTTACTAAATAATTATTAAAATCACTACTAATAACCCACAAAATCAATACTACATGCATCAAATCACTACTACAGAGCTTAAATAAAAGAATAATGATATTAGTAGTCATTTTTAGCAATGCTTCCGGCTGTAGTAGTGTTTTCTAGAGAAAGTAATATACTGCACTAAAGAGACGTGTTTGAGGAATAAATAAGGGAAAGTAAATTATATTTTAGTTTCCTAAAAATAGCATTAACTTTCACTTTTTGAAATTTTGTTGTTTTCCTAATCTGCCCTCTATGGATACTAGTTAGTATAGTACTAACCCCCTATGAGATTAGCATCCTAGCTTCTCCCATTGAATTGCCAATGATTTTTGGTCGTGTTGTCAATGAAACAATTTCATTGTTTTGATTTGTAGACAAGCCTCCTTAACGTTTTTTCTTACTCTTGAAACGAGTGTCTATCCTTATCAGTATTATTAATATGGTTAGTAGTATTTTAGTAAAATTAGGATTATTATTAGGATTTTCTAATATTCTCGATAAATATGTACTTTGTCATTCATTCACAAAAACCCTAATCTTCTATCCTCTAATTTCTCAATCCCTAGCCCTCTAAGGCCTCAGCCGATTCTCTATTCTATTCTTCTTTTTCTTCCCCTAAATTCCCAATCTCAATCCATATTTCTATCTTCTAATCCGTAAATCCCCAATACTCTTCTACAATCCCTAAAATCCCAAATGTCAATCCAATTCGCGAGCCGTTAGAAACTATGTTTCTAACATTTTCTTAAAGCATATTAGAGACCTCATAAAGCAAACCACAAGTTTCTTAAAGCATACCAGAAACCTCATCAACTTGGACCTATTTGTAAATTTTAAAATGTTTAGGTATTTAAATGTAATACATAAAAATTTTAGGTATTAAAATATAATATTTTATCAGTACTTTTAGGACTTATATGTAGAAAGGATAATTTTAGGTACTGAATCTTAAAATATATTAAGTTTAGGTACCATACCTTAAATTAATATGTATGTTGTCAACCGGGTTTAGCCAGTTGTTCTGGTCGAGTAAGTGAGTTGAGGGTTAATGGTCTGACCGATTTAGCCCGATTAACCCAGATATAAAAATATATATATATATATATATATTTATGAATTATATAAAATCTCATCAAACATATGAGTAATAACATATAACATTATACCGAAATAATATATCTTACATCATCCGACTTATAGTGAAAATTCACACATACTTATAAAACATCATTCAAATTTCAGTTTAGAATTCCAAAGATAGAGTTAAAAGAAGAGAAAAAAAGCTCATTTTGCGTAAAGGTAAAAATAACAATGTGTGACCTCCAACCCGGTAATCTTACAGCGAGTCAACCTGTGGGTGTGGTCCATTTTTCTCACCGGGTCAGGATTAAAATGGATCAACGTGTGGATCAACGGGCTTTTCTTTTGTCGCCACGTCTAGTGATGGCAATGGGTCGGGGCGGGGCGGGTAACTCAATATCCATGCCCCGCCCCACACTATTACGGGTCGGGGCGGATAATACCCGCGCGGGTACGGACGGGGCGGGTCGACCGACTCTTACATGCTATTTGAAAAAAATACACGCAAAATTTTACTTTTTACGATAACAGGAAGGGAAAAGGACTTCATGAATGAATAGTCCTGATAATGTAATGAGTAATTGAGTCTATCTAGTTGAAAGATCAAGTCTAATTAGTTGAAGAAAAGCCAAAATAGGAGATATATGAATGGATGACGTAAGAAATTGACGTAGAACGAGACGGGGTAGGGCGGATTGGAAATTGATACCCATGCCCTGTCCCATGCTACTGCGAATCGGGTAATAGCCGCCCCATCGCGAGTCAGATCGGATAATATGTGACGGGTCGGGTTCAAATTGCCATCCCTACCCACGTCGAGAACGGGGGGAAAGTTAATCTGCTAACTTGAAGATTCGTTAGCAGATACTAACTGATATCTAAATTATATGAACTAATATCCAAGTACTAAAGTATCTAGAGAGCACAGACTAGTATTCAAAGTTTGCTAATAGATATCCACCATGAATCAACTATTATCTCAAATTCACAAACTAATATCTAAACAACACAGAATAGTATCCAAACAACACATAATTAGTATCCAGATAACACATAAGAGTATCCATATTGAATACTAGTTGGTTGATTGTAGATATTAGTTGGTATCTGTTACTAGTTTGTGATGTTTTGAATACTAATTTGTGATATCTAGATACTTAGCATACTTGGATATTAGTTTATACATTTTGGATATTAGTTAGTATATACTAACGAATTTTTAAGTTAGCAGATTAACTAGGCCGCGAGAACGGAGCCTCAGTCTGGTCCTAACTTGGAATGATACTGGAGCTTTTGTGACTCACCCAGAAGCTACAATTACTGGAACTGAAAGCTCCGAGAGGAATACAACTGCGAGGTAAGGATTCTACTACTGTTATTATTCAATCCGAGCCTGAGTTTTATGGATTCGGACTTTCTTCTCTACAGGTTAGTAAGTAGTAGCCACTAACCACTGTTTCCCAAAGAGCAGTACTTCTTCAAAATATCTTTTACATATAGTCTTATGATCGATGGTATGGATTTGGTTTCTAAATCTGCTGGTTTTATGTACTCTGTGGGACTCTTTTCCCCCAGTTGGGTCGGCTGGTTTATGGGCTCTGGTTTGACTTTCTTTTATGGGGTTTGATCCGGTACCAAGCTTTTCGTTGACCAAGGAAGACATTAATTATTCCCTGGTTCCCACTTACGATGTTTTGCTTTGTGAATGCAGATTTCTTGCTGACAAGGAAAAATGGAGAACAAGTGTGCCATCAAGAAAGACATCACTGAAGTAACTCTAGTCCTTTTTCATTCTCAGTTTTAACCTTCCATTTTAAGATGATGTCTGCTTTCAACAAAAACTTTGATCTCTCATTATTCCTTCGGTAAAAACTCGGCAGTTGATTGGAAATACGCCGATGGTTTATCTCAATAACATAACCGAAGGTTGTGTAGCCCGAATAGCTGCTAAGCTTGAGTGCCTGGAGCCTGCCTTCAGTGTTAAAGACAGGTGAAGTTATAATTCATGCGGTCTGAATTCTGGAAATACCATTGGAATTTGCTTTGAGACCAACCATCCGAGTTTGTGTCTTTTCCATTGGCATAAACAGAATTGCACATAGCATGATCAAAGATGCAGAAGAGAAGGGTTTGATCACACCCGGGAAGGTCGGTTGGCAAGCTGAAACTGTGTACTACCTTACAGAAAGTGTTTTTGTCACCTGGGTTTGTACGGACAAGTTCTAAACGTTCTAATTCTGTTAATGTATGTACCAAAAAAGACCGTCCTCATTGAGGTAACTAGTGGTAATACCGGCATTGCATTAGCAGCAGTGGCAGCAGCAAAAGGCTACAAAGTCATTGCTGTGATGCCAACGGTTAAAAGTATGGAGAGAAGAATCTTGATGCTAGCCCTTGGAGCAGAGTTGTGCCTCACCGATTCAGCAAAGGGCTTTCATGGCGTTATGGAGAAGGCAAAGGAGTTACTGAAGGTCACACCTAATAGCCATATGCTTGATCAATTTGTCAATGAAGCTAATCCAGAGGTACTTATTCTTCATCCATTTGCATTTTTGTGTAATGTGCCAAGAGTGGAAGGAGTATACTATTTGATAGGGAAATATAGATTGGAAATACAGGCTTATTTAAGAAGTGTGTTTGTTCGAACTTCTTGGTGATACTTAATTAGAACCCAGTTTCAATGAATTAAACAAGGGTATCTCATGAATTGGGTCCTGATTGTCTTTTGTGTTTTAGATTCATTATGAAACAACTGGCCCAGAGATATGGAGAGACTCAGGTGGGAAAGTTGATGTTCTAATTGCCGGTATAGGCACTGGCGGTACAGTCACGGGTGCTGGCAAATTCCTCAAGGAGAAAAATCCTGAGATTAAGGTCTTGTTTTTTCTCTTCCTGGCCACCCCCCTCCTCTGGTCCTTTCTGTTGTACTCCTTTATTAGTTTTCTGATGAATCCCATCTGTAAAAACCTCAATTTGACAGGTTTATGGCATAGAACCAGCAGAAAGTGCGATCTTGAATGGAGGAAAACCTGGTATAGTCAAATTGCTTTTGGAACTTCTAAGGTTTTGCAGTAACATGTTTGATTGATGTTTGCCATTCTTGTCGGATCTTGTGGTTTAAGGTAAGCATCATATTGAAGGCCTTGGTGCTGGGATTGTGCCTGATGTTCTGGATGTACAGCTGCTTGACCAAGTCATCCCAGTAAGCCACCTGATAGTTGCATGAACTCCATCCTAGTCCTGCTAGTATAGGAATAGGGCTTAAAGAGGGGAAATGACTTGAAGAAACAAATGATTTTCAGGTGTCAAGTGAGGATGCCATTGAAACTGCCAAGTTAATTGCTCTTAAGGAGGGTTTGCTGGTAAATTTTTCAAAAGCAAAAACCACTCCTCCAATCTTTAACAGTTTGTTTACACATAGCTGTAGTTTTAAGTAGGACGAGATGAAACTTTTATGTAAAAGGCGAAACAATGACCTTCCTTTCTTTTGCTTCAACAATAGGTTGGAATCTCTTCAGGTGCCGTTACTGGAGATTTTTCCAGAAATAGCACTGTTTATAAAAAAAATTCCAAAAATAGCACCCAACTCCGAAAAATTCCAAAAATAGCACCATTTTTTTTAAACCGCAACCCGGAGGTGCGTTTTTCGATGAAAACGCCACCCGAGGGCGCGTTTTTCGATGAAAACCGCACTGGTAGGGAGCGGTTTTGCAAACCGCACCCCCAGGGTGCGATCTGCCTTTTTTTTTTTTTTTTTTTTTTGCAAACCGCACCCCCAGGGTGTGATCTGTTTTTTTTTTTTTTTTTTTTTTTTAAAATCCTAACTTAGGTGGAAACTTCAAACAAACGTATCTTTATGTTCGGGTATCCAATCGCCGCGATTTTTTTTTTGATTCCGCATAACTTTTTGAGATCTTGCAAGCCGAAGACTGCCAAAGGTGGTTTGGTCTCGCCTTCGAACCAAAAAATGTCGTTTGCTACCCCGAACGAGCATTTTTTCGATTTCGTCAAACTTTGAACGACCATAACTTTGTGCTCCACAATCCGAAAATCATGATTTTTTTTTGATTTTGCATAACTTTTTGAGGACTAAATTTTTTATCATAGACATAATTTCGGAATGTACTTGGATTCCTAAAAAGAAAGGTAAACTTATTCCCAAAACCCCGTATATCCAAAATAATTCATTTTTTGAAAATTCTCTCCTATAAAAAATTGTAGTCCTCGAAAAGTTATGTAAAATCAAAAAAAAGTTCATGATTTTCGGATTGTGGAGCACAAAGTTATGGTCGTTCAAAGTTTGACGAAATCGAAAAAAGGCTCGTTCGGGGTAGCAAACGACGTTTTTTCGGGACGAAGGCGGGACCAAACCGCCTTCGGCATTTTGCGGCTTGCAAGATCTCGAAAAATTATGCGGAATCAAAAAAAAAATCGCGACGATCGGATACCCGAACATAAAGATACGTTCGTTTGAAGTTTCCACCTAAGTTAGGATTTTTCAAAAAAAAAAAAAAAAAAAGCAGATCGCACCCTGGGGGTGCGGTTTGCAAAAAAAAAAAAAAAAAAAAGGCAGATCGCACCCTGGGGGTGCGGTTTGCAAAACCGGTCCCTACCAGTGCGGTTTGCATCGAAAAACGCGCCCTCGGGTGGCGTTTTCATCGAAAAACGCACCTCCGGGTTGCGGTTTTACAAAAATGGTGCTATTTTTGGAATTTTTTGGAGTTGGGTGCTATTTTTGGAATTTTTTTTTTAAACAGTGCTATTTCTGGAAAAATCTCCCGTTACTGCTGCAGCTCTGAACCTCGCCAAGATGTCTGAAAATGCTGGAAAGCTCATTGTGGTAAATGCTTTTATTGTAACTATAGCCTCGCCTTGAATTGCTTACTCTAAAAGTTAGCAATCTTTCATTTTTACTGTTACCTTCCACAAATTTTGTTTACTGGTAAATTCCACCCTCCACCATCTTCAGACCCTTCTACTTTTGGATGCACGCAGGTCATCTTCGCTAGCGCAGGGGAACGGTACTTGTCCACCAAGCTATTTGATTCTGTAAGGCGCAAGGCAGAGAGCATGACCTTCCATTGAGCAAAAGAAGAACACGAACACATACAGTTCCTTACAAGGAAACATAAATTTTAAATTTTTACTCCTGGAACTTCTATCGTTAATACACACAAGCCAACAACTTTCATTGAGGGATTGGATTAAAGGGCCTGATTATGAAGTATCTCTGCTTGCCTTGAGAGGAGCCGGTCCCTGTTTAATCTTTGGCCCCTTGCAAGTCTCTGTGAGGCTGGCCTTGCCCAACATCTAAACATCATCTGGCCCATAATTTAAGGGCCAGAATGCTTTAGACTAAATTGGATAGGGGCTGCGCGGATGCAAGCTCCTGCTGCCACAAATTATGACGTAGGCTCTCCCTCTATGAGGGGACCTTAGCCCAGCACCCTTCCTATACGTGCAATGAAAGTCACTGGCCTAGACCACTAGCCTTATTGATCTGTTGCACTCAGCTTCCCTTTTATAATATTTTCCCTTCTCAAATTCACTCATCCTCCTGAGTGGTATATTCGATTAACCCGTTGTTTTTTTAACCGAATCCACATCAGCTACTGATTAAATGTTTGTGGCTTGAGCCATGGTTGGCTGCTTGTGGGGATATAGGAGTAGGATTGGCTGGCTGGGTCTTCTTCATTTAAGGCCATTTTTTGTTATTCAAATGGATGCATGACAAAATTGGGACCCATTTGAACATGGAATCTTTGTGCACAATGAATAAAGTCACAATCACAGAAAGCTGCCAAAAGAAAGTCTACAGCCTGATGACCTTAGTATCATGGGATTAGTTGTTTGGGGGGGTATCCAGTCAGGTTTCACTTGTCAGTTCAAAAACTCACCTGTTTTTGTCCCTTAGTTTCTTCTTCCTTTTCCTTCATCGAAGTAAGAAAGAATATCTCCATTGTTGGCCTCAATAGGAGTCTCCAGGTTTGCAGCTCTTACTGTTCCTTCTTTGGGTCTTTTGGTAAAGAAAATCTCCTTTTTTTTATTTTTTATTTCTCCCCTTCCATCCAATTTGTGGGCAAGATTATGGAACTTATATTGGGTTGATTTTAACCGGTATGATTGCTCAGAAGCTTATTAAGCAAACTGGTATGTAATCTCCAAGTAGAAAGATTGCAGCTTTCTTTACTGTGGCAATTGTCTTATATGTGGGTGGTGCAGGTTCTTTAGTGAGAGTAAATGGCGCAGAGCTATATGATTAAAAGTGATGTTACTGAAGTAAGTTATGCTATTTCTGACTGCATTACCTCAATTACCTCAAGTTTATTGCTGGATTGACCCATAGAAAACAAAAATTCAAAGTAACATTGAGTTAATTGATCAAAATCTACTTCTGCAGTTAATAGGCAACACTCCAATGGTATACTTGAACAATATTGTCGATGGTTGTGGAGCACGAATCGTGGCGAAGCTTGAAAACATGGAACCTTGCTCTAGTGTTAAAGATAGGCATGCTATTTTACACGCTACAAGTTGTTTTATTCAAAATTTTATTCCCCCCCTAGGTTTCTTGTTGTTAGAGTCAAGTCCTGAATTTTCCATTTCAAGTTTACCCAGGATTGCATATAGTATGATCAAAGATGCTGAAGATAAAGGCCTCATAACCCCAGGGAAGGTTAGTTTAGTTTTAACAGGAGTAGTAGTTGTAGTTGTTTTTGTTGTTGTTGTTGTTGTTGTTGTTGTTGTTGTTGTTGTTGTTGTTGTTGTTCATAGCTGAAGGTGTAATCCTCCTCTTTAGTTTGACAATGAGTTTTCTCTTCTTTTTCCGGGCTCAAGTCGGTGTTGATTGAGCCTACTAGTGGAAACACTGGCATTGGTTTGGCATCCATAGCTGCAGCAAAAGGTTACAGAGTTATTCTTGTCATGCCATCTTCAATGAGCATTGAGAGAAGGATTGTCCTTTTGGCCCTTGGAGCCGAGGTTGTCCTAACAAATCCAGCCAAGGGATTCAATGGGGCATTGGAAAAGTGTGAGGAGCTAGTAAGCAACACACCAAATGGTTACATGCTCAAGCAATTTGAGAATTCTGCAAATCCACTGGTAACCATTTGAAACAAAATTCTTTCGATATGTTCTGCCAATTCAGAAGTTGTTATTGTTACTTGTCAGCTGGATGATTCTGATGGAAACGAGTCAAAAGGAGAAGAATATACTAGAAAAACAAGCAATTACACAAGACACCTGATCCACTTGTTTTAGCTTGTGTGCCTACATCGACTAGGGATTACCATGTTCTTATTGTGGTTCTTTATAGAGTAATTATGACCACACAAAAACCTGTATTGAAAAGCATTCATATGCCAAATATGAACTCCTTGCACAATCCTTCGGGTGTAAAGAATGCCTCATTTGCTGAGATTCTGACATGTAACCCGTTCTTCTGGTTAAGAGTCAGTTCTAACAAGTGTTTCACTTCTTTCATGCCAATGTTGTTAGATTCATTATGAAACTACTGGACCAGAGATCTGGAGGGACTCAGGAGGTAAAGTTGATGCGCTGGTTTCTGGCATAGGGACTGGTGGGACTGTGACTGGAACTGGCCAGTTTCTTAAGGAGCAAAACCCAGAAATCAAGGTATGGTTTCCTTGTTTGCGTCATGCCAGGCAAAGAAGAGCGAGCAACTAAAACTGTCTGCAATATGTTTTCCTTTGACTGTTTGCAATCTAGGTATATGGTATAGAGCCATTTGAAAGTTCTGTCCTGAATGGTGGAAAGGCTGGTGAGCTATGAAACTACTCATTTGAAAACATTAAATGCAAATGCAAAAATGTATAATCTTCTCATAACTTTTGTACCTGACCCGCTTTGCTTGGCCATGCACAAATGTCAAAAGCTCAGCATTTGATCCAAGGAATTGGTGCTGGGATCATCCCTCCTGTACTGAATCAGGACTTACTTGATGAAGTTATTATGGTAAGTCACAGTGGAAAGAAAGAAGTGATTTTGGAATTTTCCTTTTTGATGGTCTCTTTTATTGTTTCAGGTATCAAGTGAAGAAGCCATTGAAACAGCCAAACTTCTGGCTTTGAAAGAAGGGTTGTTGGTTGGGATATCATCAGGCGCCGCAGCTGCTGCTGCTATCAAACTAGGGAAGAGGCCTGAAAACAAGGACAAACTCATTGTTGTGAGTTCCTCTCACGGAAGTTGTTTGTTCTGTGAAGATAATTTTTGAACCTTGCAATGCAAGTTTTCATTTTACTTTTCTTTTGCTTGATTTCTGGTACAGGCGGTCTTCCCCAGTGCAGGAGAGCGATACCTGTCTACTGCGCTCTTTGACTCCGTTAGGAGTGATGCAGTAAAGATGACAATACATGACTGAAATGTGCTGCTTGGAGTTTGGAAGAAGTTTTATCTCTTGTGTTTCTTTAGTATTTTTTCATCTCGTTTGGACTTGGAAAGCCAGAAGGCAAAGGAATGCAAAAAAATTCATAGTGAAGATATGAAATTTCATTGAGGAATCTGGATTTGTCTTTGAATTTCTACATATTTATATCTACATATAATAAAGTAGTTTAAGGCATGAACTAACTTTTTATTCACTCAATTGGTTGAATGAGTTTCGTTTTTATCATTTATTATAATTAGTTTTATTACAAAATCGGGTATGTTTGAAATATTTTACATGTGATTTAGAAGTATACTTACTATTAGTGACATTAGTGGTAGTTGGTAATTATGAACATCGATCGACTCGGTATAGCACATGATCAAATTGAGATGAGGCCAACTTGAATTCCGTATAAAATTGGATTTAATCGAGATTGAATCAAGGTAAATGTGGCGGTCGAATCGTGGAGAGACCTATTTATCTCAATGTATATATATAGTTGTGTCATTTATTTATTTTTTCATTTCTTTAAAGAAATATTTACACATTTTTTAAAATGTAATACTTAAGTCACACAATTTTAGGGACATGGCGCTCTTTCTTTAGAACACAAAAATGCAAACTTAGAAGAATTGGGAAAACATTCGGGAATTATTATCTTTTGAATGGCGAACTATGCAGAGAAATTTGTAAAATAACGAATGTGGTCGAACAAAAACTATCGGTTGTTTCACTTTCACCAGCAAAAGGCATGCATATGGTGGGCGGGAGTGAAAAAAGAAAATTATTTGATAGCAACACAAGCCTCTACAGGGTTCAAATTAACAAAACCAATCAACTGCAATTTTGTAAAATCTGAGCCTCTTACAGGCGTTGTGAACTCAACCAAATTGAGAAATCAGGACTAGATTGGAAGATCTAAATTCGATGAGACTATTGAGGTGGCCACTAATCTTTAGATTTTTTTGACTTGTACCATAATTTTTTGTATTAAAATATTGGAATTTCGGAGACAATAGACTTTTTTAAAAGAAAAGAGTGAAGGATTGATGACTCGCCACGACACAACACCAAACTGCGACCAAGTGTAATCGTAGAATGTAAATGCAGTATAGTGAGATCAAGTAATAAAAGTCAACCCGAAGCCTAGATGTACTCCCTACTTTGTGATTATCTATTATCTAGTGGGAAAAGTTGAGTGAGAATGAGTTTAAACTAAAGCAGAAAGAAAGCAGTAAATTGTTCGGTTTCTAAAGCAAGAGAAGAGTTACTCGGGAATGAGTCCCCCTAGCTCCTTAATTAGATTCAAGTTATAATTCCTTTTGGTTGATTCACTATTCATTAAACTGTGGAAGATCCGAAAGTAGTTTGGAATCTCTTAAATTCACCAAGCCCTCTTAGACAGACTATCCGGCAAACGACTAGCCTTCACCAGGATAGAATGCTAAGGCAAATCACACAGAACTCCACTACTGGAAACACATTCCAGTACAAAGCAGTGAATTGACTGACTCTCGTACAATGAATTCACTCATACCGATTGAAGAGACTCTAACAATTTGATCAAATTCTATCTATCACAGGTTGAAGCATAAATCAAGAGAAGTTGATCAGGATTCAATTGACTCAATAAACACCCTTCAATCGATTAAAACCAATCAGTATATAATTCGTGTTGGGCCAACCATGGAGTCTCTTGGGCCGATAGGCCCATGACCTACAAAAGCCCACAAAGCAAGCCAAGGCCCGGCAGGAATAGGCCCGGAGGCTAAGGGCGGTCCCCGAAGGAGACAAAGACCGCCCGACATTTACAAACGGCCAAGTGGTAAGACCGCCCGACAGGCCTGAACGACAGAGATCCGCAGGGATATCTCCTGACCTGACCATGCATTTAATGAGGTCGAAGGCGTCCTCACACGCCTGACAAGCCATTTAATGCACACACCCCAGCCAAAGCTAGTATAAATACCCACCTAAAAGCCACATTGATGGTAACTTCTACCTACTCCACTCTCTCTCTTATTTACACTTTATCCACTTCTCTCTCTAACTTTGGCATCGGAGGAGGTCCCAGGAACCCCCTGAGGACCTTTCGTGCAGGGTTTCGAAGACCGCCTCATCCATCGAAGGCCGCACGAGGGTAGTGTCGTCTCACCAAACCGTCTGGTACTTCCCAGGCAAAAACATTTTGGCGCCCACCGTGGGGCCTCACTACTTCAGTGCGGAAAAGATGGGAGACGAATTCGAGACCCCTCTCAAAGGGATGACCGAGAACAACACCCTCCGGGGCCTATCACCGAGAGTCGAGGACGAAGTAGAGCTCGAGGAGGTGGTCAAAAGTCAAGGCCTCTAAATAGCAAGCATGCAAGATAGCCTCTCCCAAATCCTCCATCTTCTGAAAACCAAGGAGGACCCCCCTGAGGGTCCCAGAGGGAGACCGCACGACGAGAAGCAGAAGGCTATTCACATTCCCGGCAGCCCCGCTCCGACGGAAGGCGGGGGACAGGACGCCGAAGACGCCGACCTTGGTTTCCTCGAAGAGCACCTGCGGTCGACTTACGGGAAACACAAAAGCCCGAACGTCCTTCAAAACCCCCTATCGAAGGAGCTCTTCAAAACCCCGGTACCACCCAACTTCTCTTCCCTCGGACTTCCAACCTACAGCGGGACCTCAGATCCCGCGGACCACCTTTGTGCTTTCATGCTAAAGATGCAACTCATCAACGCGTCAGACTCAGACTTGTGCCGGGCGTTCCCCGTCACCTTCAGCGGACAGTGCCGAACGTGGTACACCTCCCTCCCAGAAGGGATAATCGAGAATTTTGAGCAATTCGCGATGCTTTTCTCAACGAAGTTCGCGTCCCAACGACGTCGCAAGCTTACGGTCTCGGCCCTCATAAACTGGAAGGCATTTCATCGGTCGTAGCGCCCGGAAACCTCAGAATATCCACGACCAGCGTCGAACTCAAGAGAACCCTGATAAAAAAGGAAGCCATGCTGACGTCGTGGTCAGACTTAGACCGGCTGGTCCGACGAGCGATCTTGCTTGAAGAAGCATTGGCCACCGATGACCGCCCAATAGGGGTGGGCAACGGGATGGGACGGGATACCCGTCCCGTTTTAAACGGGTACCCAGTCCCATTTGGAGACCAAAGTCCATCCCATATCCCAAACTCATATGGGAAACGGGTACCCATTACCCGTACGGGACGGATAACGGGTACCCATACTACCCATAAATACCCAAAGTTTAAACCACTAAAATTTTAACAAAAGTTTAAACTTAACTTGTATTTGCTTAACAATCACAAGACACAAAATACATCCCAATCACAAATACTTGGTTTGCAAATTACACATTCATGAACAATCACAACACATAGAAATAAATCATTTCAAGTACCAAATTATAAAAAATAAAAGTTTCATTCAACACATCCCAACCCTCTCTACTAATTCACCAAACATGTCAGTGAAAGAGTGAAAGGGTAAGGGCCCAAATGGAATTGAAATTGAAAGGGTAAGGGCCGAAATGGCCAATGGGTTTTGAATTGGGTTGGGCTGAATTAAATTTCTGCATTTGTATTGAATGAGTATAACGGGTACCCATATTACCCAAACGGGTATTCGCGGGTAACCCGCGGGTACCCATATTAGGAATGTACAATCCCAAGTCCCATCCGTTTATAATATTATGGGTAATATGGGTACCCGTAACCCTTAAAAAATGGGACGGGTACGGGTATACCCAAATACCCGTTTCCCGTTGCCCACCCCTACCGCCCAAGGAGCGACCACTCAGAGCGCTCAGACACAAGACGTGGAAGGCGCTCCCCTGACCGCAAAGCGTATCGCAACCGATACACGGAGCGGGACGGAAAAAGAGAAGTGTTTTCCGCCGATCGAGAAAGGGGGCGGGAAAGACGAAGGAGCGGGAGGAAACCAGAGACATCCTCCGCACAGGAGCCGCAAGAAGCGAAGAAGTGGTGCGACTGGCACCAAATCACTACCCATGACACCACCGAGTGTAGGGAATTCAAAGCCAGTCTGAGATACTTGGCCCCAGGAGACCTACGAAGTCGCCTCGAAACCAGGCGTCTGCATCGGGACCACTCACAAGAAAGGAGGGACGGATCCCGCAGTCCCGAAGCGGATAAGGCAAGGAGATCAAGAAAAGAGAGAACAAGATCCCCCTCAAGAAACAAGGCTGTCTCTCCCCAGAGAGAGTCCCCGGTCTATAGAACTCAGCGCGACGACGACGACGGAATGGAAGTCATAACCATCGCCGGGGGCAGGAAACGCCCCAGGACGGAGGGGGACCGCCTTGCCCACTGCCTCAACGTTCAAAGGCGAGTCCCGACCGACGTTACGTTTCTTCCGACCGAATTGGCCAAGGAGGAAAATTCGGAAGATCCCCTGGTCATCTCTTTCAGGACCGCGAAGTTCAAAGTCACCCGGGCACTCGTGGACAATGGGAGCTCCGCAGACATCCTTTTCTACTCAGCCCTGAAGGGGATGAAGAAAGGCGTCCAGGACCTCAACTCCTCTAACACCAGCTTGGTAGGATTTTCGGGAACAAAAGTCCGCGTCCTCGGATCGGTCACACTCAAAGTCACCATCGGGAAGGCGGCGTTACAAAAACCAGACCAGTAGAATTCCACGTAGCAGATTGCCCCTCGGCTTATAATGAAATCTTGGGACGCGGCTTCCTTGCGTCCTTCGAAGCGGTCGCATCCACATGCCACAAAATGTTGAAGTTCCCAAGCGAGGGACAAACAGGTCGCGTCCGGGAAAACCTGAAGGAAGCTAAAGAGTGTTACCAAGCAACAATCGAGCACCTCGAAGTCGATCTGGTCGACGCCCGAGGTGACGTGCCGCGCCCCGAAGTGGTTGAGGGAGACATAGCGGTCCCCCTAGATGATGAGCGGCCTGACAGAACCGTACGCATCTCGGCACATATGGCCGCAGAGGAGGCTCAGAAGCTACTCACACTCCTCAGAGAGTTCCAAGACCTCTTCACTTGGGGACCAGAGGACATGCCAGGCGTTCCCCGGGCGGTCTCTGAACACCGGCTCTCCGTCAAGCCTAAGGCACGTCCCATCCAACAGCGGAGGAGGCACTTATCCCTTGAAAAGCAAATGGCACTCGAAGAGGAGGTACGTCGTCTGCTTAAAGTCGGATTCATAAGGGAGGTGCAATATCCCACATGGCTC